AGCTGGTGCCCTGACAGTTGCGGCCTTCAAGATCAATTTGGTGCTCTGGGACCTAGCCAGGCCTTTCCCACCCCACAGTTATCTGCAGCAGATGCCAACAAGCAAGATGCTGCAGAATGGTGGCACTATCCTGGGTACTACCCCAGAGCTGCCACTTTGTCCATCCCCATCAAGCTGGATGGTGGGACAATGTCAGAGTCTATGGTGGCAAGAACAGTGCCTGCAACTCCCAAGAAGGTGCCAAACCTGCTCGCTGATCCCTCCTGGACCAAGAACATAGCTGAGCCCTTCCATGATCATGTTCTTGGCTATGTGCATGGAGAACCTGCTCTTCCCCCACCCCCCATGGCAACTTGCTTGGCAATGTTGGTCCAAATTGCATGCAGTAAGGTGAATGCATCCCCCTCAACACAGTGTTTGCTCATGCCAAGCCAAAGATCAAGGAGGAGGGGTACAACATTCTCAAAAACAAGGTGCATGAAGTCAAGAGGGAATGAGGTTGGTCAGATGATGCTCCCAAAGTGTTGCCAGATGCTGATTCCATTGATTCCAGATGCCTTTGCATGATGCTCTGCTTCAGCATGGCTCTCAGCCTGCATGACTGATTTGGCCTCAAAGAGAATTGAGTCATGCAAGTGAAGAGGGAGATTCAGTGGATCATACTGGGCCGGAGCTGTAGATGAAGAGGAACAAAAGGATTGTCAGTTGAAAGGTATGCCTTTCTGCCCATTTGCATTGACTGAACTGATATTGCAAAATCTGCATGGCTGGTTTCCAGCATGTCCCTTCATATGCATCAGCTTGGCGACTGCTGGCATATCCCTGAAGAGCATGATCAGGTGTGCTTGCAAGGTAAAGAACTCATGCTTTGAGGCATCATAGGTCCTCACACCTTTGGCCAGGAGAATGAGCTCTTCTGCCAAGGGGAAGTAGAACAAATTGAGATCTTTGACCATCTTGGGTCCTGGGATGCAACCAATTCGAAGCAAGTTCTTCATGTGTGTCCTGTCTTGCAGTGGCAGGTTGTAGTTGATCAAGATTGTTGGCCATGCAGTTGTTCTTGGGCCTTTGAAAGGGACAAAACCATCAGTTGACAAACCTAAGGCTATGTCTTGTGGTGTGTCAAAATATTTTGTCTTCAAGGTCTTCCTGTTGACAGAAATATGGTGTTTGCACAGTTTGCAATATGTCCTTCCCTGGAAGATGTCTGTCATCTTGAGTGAGTGGGGATTTTGCTGGGCTTGATATGAAGAAAGGGTAGTTGCTCTTTCCTCATTAGCATATTGAGCTTGAAGCTGAGGATGATCAGTAGATAATGATATGGCTGTGCAGGCCTGCCATTCATCTTGAACCTTGGTTCACTGCAGTGTGGACAACACTTGAGTTTGACAAGGGCACCTATGTATGCCACACAGGAATTGATGCAGCAATTGTAAGTGATGGGCTTCATTCCAGAGATGTGTTGAATGTGTCATTCAATATAGGGGAGATCGTAGAAGACATCAGGATAGGTGAAGTTGAGGGTGTTGTACTGTGCATTTGTGAAATGTCCATTCATTTTCACATAGAATGCAGTGAATATCTTCTCATCCTCTGCTGACAGGTTATCTGGATTGTGTGAGCAGCACCCAAGCTGTTTGGAACAGATTACATACCAGGTATCATTCTTGACTCAAGATCAATCTCCTCATCCAACTCCTCAATGCCAGAGGTCTCCCCTCCATCTCCCCCTCCCCCTCCCCCTCACCATCATGCATCTGCCATTCTCACTCCCAATCCTCCTCCTCCTCCTCCTCCTCCTCCTCCTCCTCCTCCTCCTCCTCCTCCTCCTCCTCCTCCTCCTCCTCCTCCTCCTCCTCCTCCTCCTCCTCCTGCTGCAGCAGCTCCAGCTCTGGCTCCAGCTCTGGCTCCTCCTGCCCCAATCTGGGTTCTTCTGCTGGCAGAGACATCTGGGACCCAACCCCTTCCCTTTCACTGCCAAACAGCTCATTCCACAGATCCTTTAGATCCTTTGCAGGTGGTATTTTGCGCCCCAGTCAAGTCATCTCTTCCTTTGATTGTTCCTGCCAGGTGATGATGACCTTCTTTAGGGCTAGTGCTTCAGCCAACTGACAATGCTGCCATCTCTGGGTGCAAGACAACATTTTGCCACAGTGAGAGCAAGGACCTTTTCAATGTTTCTGACGGACCTCTGCCTTTGCCTTTACCATGGTGAGAGGTAAACAAAATGGCAGGCCCCACTCTCCAGGACCAAAAAAAGTCAGTGATTCATCAATTCAGAATTTCCATATTGGGTTTATTTTTGCCCTTGTTTGTGGTTGGTGTGTAACATGATCTGTGTATGTGACTGATTTTGCTATCACAGCTTTCTGCTTGAGAAGTATATAATGGGACTGACAAGCTTGTGTCCCTTTCTCCCCATCCTATGCCCAGGATCTCAGACCTCACTGACACCCCTTCCCTCAGCATCTTCCTCAAACAGGCCCCTTCACCTGAGAGTGCTGACAGCCCTCCCAGCGACTCCCTCTTCCTCAACTTCTTCACAGCTGCTTTCCACCACTGTGCTCCCACCCCCTCCACACCTCTCCAAGGATGGCTGGTATGCATTGTACATGCAACTGCAATGAGTCCGATGCCATGATTACAGACGTTCTGCCCCCAACAAACACTTCATCAAAGAAGAAAGTCAGCGGCAAGGGGAAAGGGAACAAGGAGAACCTGCCTGCCCTGTTTCATGATGCTACCTCTGTTGCACTTGCCCTCTCCACTGAGGATGACCTTGATGAAGACCCCATTGAAACCCTGGTAGAGCCCAAGAAGCATGCCCTGTCAGTATCTGATATCAAAGAAGACGAGCCCCTGCCCAAGCACACCAAGAAGCAGCCTCTCAAGCAGCTCGACAATGGCCTTGACATGCAGAAGTTCCTCTCCAAGAAGAAGTCAAAGAAGGATGAACTTATTGAGTTGAATGCAAGGATTGTAGAGCTTGGGGCAATCATTATGTCTATGAAAGGTATGTCTTGAACACTGCACACATACATACATATCTGACATTATTGAAGCAGATAAGGAGAAACTTTGAAAGGCACTCATAGCCAAGCTGGCAAAGCACAAGGCACCTCTGCCTCTGAAGGTCATCCCTAAGCCCTTGGGGCAACCTGGTCATAAGGGGGCAGGTGGATATTGCCTGCAGGAAGAAATGGGGCTCTCTGGGAACAAGAGAGAGTACAATTCTCTTCAGGTAAGCCACTCTTACCTGCTATTATAGCTACCTACTAACCCAAGCTCTTCTACAGCAACAAGTCTGACAGATCAGCAACAAGTACAATGTCTGTGGAGACAAAACCATCACCAAACTCTACCCAGAGGTGATGGCAAAGATATACAAGGAAGTGAGTACTGTCCTCCATGCTAAATGACAACATGTATTTACCTTGAAGTAGGCTCAACACAAGATTTGGTACTTGCAATGGTTTGAGAATGATTGGGCCACCAGGGCCATTGTTAAGTCATACACAAGGAGTGCCAAGCAATTCTTGGTCTTGAAAAAAGCTCATGATGAACATCACCTGTCTGGGTCAAGAACCCTGGGCCCAGATGTAGGCCCTCAGCCTTTGGTGAGAAGCATTTTATCCAATAAAGCCATGGAGCAAGCTGCAGTACAGCTTGATGATGATGATATTGACAACAGTGACAAGGAGCTTGTGAATCATTTGGCTGGAAGTAAATCTGACAATGAGAATTTGGATTAGGTAAGTACCTGATTGTAGATTTGCATTGTGTACATATCAACATGATTTCCAGTCTCTGTAAAATATTTTGAGCCTGCTTGGCCTGGCTTTTGTTGTTGTAGGGACTAGATATCACTGTTTCATCAGTGCTTCAAGCACCTTATTCCAGCTCTTGTATGATTTTCAGCAAACAATGACATTTGAATGCTTTGGTAAGGAATTACATGTGGGTACTGTGACAGTTTGGTTCAGGGCTTGTAAATAAGTTAATAAAATAGATATGGTTTTCAGCTCCACACAAGGTAATTCACTGCCTGCCCTAGGTCATGATTGGCATGACCTGGGGGACTCCTGAAGGGACTTAGCTTCAGTGCCAATGCACAGTAGAATGAATGTAATGAGGGAGGCTGGCAATGCAGTCTGCTCCAGGGCAGGGTGCTAGGGTGGTGCTTCCCCCTGTAAAACTTTTTGCTGCCACTCTTTGGGCTGTCCATCATTCAACATGGTTTTGTTTGTCCTTGCTTTGCTGTTGTTTTCTGGGTGTTGTGGACAGACTGCATGTCTGACCCAGCCTGTGTTTCCCTTCTGGTGCCTGATATGGATGCTCCAGACAGACCTTTGCCCCATAACAAGAGGAGAAAGCACAAGAGTGATGTGATGAAATTGCACAGCTATATGGGTTGGCTTGAGAGGTGCCAGACCCGGGGCTTGGGGGATAATGGTTCATCTTGCTATACTTTGGGTTGCATCTCCTGTATACTCACATGACAGATAGATGTTCAACTTATTCCCTCCTACCCAGACCTGTTCATCAGATGTCCTTCCAGCAATGCAATGGTCTTGGATTCTCTCATGGCTGCCTTTTTGCACAACCCCCTTCCTACACCCATTCCCTGTGCTCCTGAGACCAGTGATTGGGTGTACAGGGTCAATCCAGCCCAGCCTCTACCCAAGGGAGTGACACTAGATTGTCCTCTCTTTTGAGTTCATGATGGTGTTCCATCTCAGCATCTGGACACCTTGCTCAATCTCACCAAAGACTTCTACTCAAAACTTCCCAAGTCTTACCTAAGACAGGAGGAAGAGTTCAGTTGCTCATCAGTACCAGGACTCCACTTGGGTGTTTGGAGAAGATCCAGCCCAGTGCCTGCCTTTAGCAGAGATTTGGTTAACCAGAATCCTTTGGTGAAGAGGTGGATGGATGTCCTTTTGGAGGTTATGGACACAGTGGTGGGCAAAAGGGCTATGAGGTTGTTGCATAGTCATCAACCTGAGGTATATGAGGAGAGAAAGAGGTTTGTCCTTTGACATCCTTTAGATGGGTTACTCCTAACACTTTAGCAGGATCCTGGACTGGACCTATTCTCACTCAGCATTGGCTGATACTTTGGCTGATAGACCTCAGCTTTGACAATGTGCCTGGCCCATGCTGGCCTTCAGAGAGGGCCATGCCCCTGTGCCCCATATTGATTTGAATGATGATGACAATCAGTACAGTATCCTGTTTGTCCTCAGCAACTTCACCACTGCCTATTTGGTCCTCCCTCAGCTAGGGATTCAGATCCCACTTTGTCCAGGCCAGTTGCTGTTTATCGACACCTGGCACTTGGCACATCACACCACATACTTTAGGGGAACTAGGTATGTGTTTTCTGGCCTTACGGATGCCAATCTTTGCAAAGATTATAGAAAGACAGTAGCTTAGTATAGTGACCACATGTTATGGTCCTCTTTGATGATACATGCTACCTATTTTTCCATCACCTCCCTAAGTGTAGACTTTCACATTTTTTGGTCAGTTCTCAGTGATTGATTTGTGATTGCCATGGTGCTAACTTTGGTATGGTTAATAGTAGACATGGTTTGGCATCTCATTGGATGTCTGAAGGTGTCACACATGATTGGTTATTCGGGAGGGTAACATGTGATACTTTGGCATGTCTTGCCTGTTGTGGGGGGTGTTTCATTGTGTGTCCTTCTTTGTGGTGGTACAGATTACTGTCTCTGATGTTCGCCAAAGATGTACCCTGTCTCACAATACTGAGTCAAGTGTTTACCAGCTACTGCATAAAGATGGATGGCAAACTGGAGGAACTCCCTTACTCTATCCCCTCAATAATCTTTCGCCATGTCAGTTATCCTCACTGCTATTGCAGGTTGCTATGATTGGCATCCATCTGCAGCTGGCTCATGTACTCTAACCTGCAGCATAGCCTTACCCATGGCACCTGTAGCTGGCAACCTTGACAACATCCTCATGACTGATGATGTGGTTGGTGTCTTGCACTATTTCCTGCCCAGTGGAGCATTGGAGCTGGAAGTTGGTACATACAGCATCAGCCAAGATTGCATCAAGGACAACCTCTATGGTTGTTGGTGATGGCTTCAATATGGATGATTTTGAGTTTGAGCTGGATTGCTTGGTGGTATGTTTTCCTGAGTTAATATGATGGCAGGTGCTGGTTGTTTGGCCAGCTTCTTTCGCTCTCCCATGAGAAACTGCCAATCCCTCCTGTAGTCTGCATTGCAGCACAGCCTTTCAATGTTCATGCTTGCATCTTCAATATGGATGCCATGCCATGGATTTCCACTGGCAAGAAGGCTTCTCACTTTTGGTGTTACTTTCCAGATGAAGGGTGGTTTGCTAAATCAACCACCTGTGTCACTTCAAATGCAACTTTGCATGTGACTGGAGTTCTTACCAGCAGATCCCTTTCACAGGAAGACTCAACTCTGGCTTCTAAGCAATTCTCACTCTGGGTAAGAGACAGTTTTCCACAGTTAATATTTATTGTTGAATTGTTATCCTACAGATTCTTGATTATGACTATCTCTCTGGAACCACATCATCAGCACCATTGCCAGCACCAGCTACACCATTGAAATCAGCCTTTTGGTGGTCTCACTCTGCTTTGCAGATCAACACTCCTTTCCAGCTGGATCACCAACCACCTCAATAGGGCAGATACCTTTGAGACAAGAAAATGGTCAGGCTGAAGGAATTGAAGTTGCAACAGAGCTTAGCCTTGATCACCAAGGCAATGGTGAAACAGGTTCACTGAGAAAGCAGACCAGACATCCTTGATGCACATCAAGATAGTTGCCTTCTGTATGATTGTCCGAGGTGGAACTGGCTCTCAGAATTTGCATTGAATGAGCACACTGTACCCTGTTTCTTTCCTCACACCAGTCAGGGCAAGAGAGGCCCACTGAGACATATTTGTGGAGAGGTCAAATAGAGATGGCAGGCTTTCATAGCTCCCATCTCCCAATGACTGGCTTGAGATGCCCCTAGAAGATGAACAGCACCCTCCTCAGGCACATGGAGCACATGGCATCCATAGAAGAGAGGCCAATGCCCAAAGGCATTGTGCGAGAAGAGAACAGGAGACAGAAGAAGCCTGCCTTCTTTGGTGCCAAAGAGAGTGAGGACAATGTCAACATTGAGAACAGAATATGACAGAAGAACAGTGGCACCAGTATCAAGCTATGAGAAGAGATCGACAGGCCAGGTATAGAAATCAGCAGAGACAGCAGCATCTGGAAGCTCAGAATAACATGGGCACTAACTAACCATGTTGAGGGTATCCTGCCTATACTGCCACAAAACTTCCCTGGCAGCAGAACACAGCAAATGAACCAACCACCCAGACAGGTCAAATCATGGTGGCATCTCTTCCCAAAATCCTCCACTGCAGCTGGCCGGCAGCATGCTATCTCACAGTGGAACAGGGTCTGTCTTTACTGCAGTGCAATGCTCCTCAGGTCAGTCCTATTATTGAGTGAGCCCTTACACATGTCTAACACTAAGACTCTCCCTGGATTCTCAGTGCTGAGGCAAATACATTTTGCTGCAAGAATGGGACATATGTGTTACCATGGCTACCTGTGCTACCTGCTTCCTACAACATCTTTCTGCAAAGCAATCATCTGTCTGCCCTGTCTCAAAAACTCAATGGCCTCTTTGCATTGACTGCAATTGGGACAACAGAGGGCTTTGTGCAAGGACTCCAGCCCCCATCCAACATGGTTCTCACAGGTCACACCTATCATTGCATGCTAGATGTGGCAAACCCAACACACTTGATCCATTGGTTCCTTTATGATCAGCAGGAGAGGACAGATAGAGGGCACAGGATGAACATATCTCCAGATTGGCTTGCAGCAGTCTCAGAAGCATTGGAATGCCATAACCCATACATCTGTGAACTTCTTCACTTTCAAGATGATTCCTTACCAGATATGGCTATGCTAGAGCTCCCTGAGTTCACTGCAGCTGGAGACTTTGCAGCAATCATGCATGCTAACAATTCAACATTGGTCAATCCACATAGTATCCTGATATGGCATCTGGGTATGTTGCTCCTTTCACATATGAAACTTGGCTCATTTATTTTCTAGGGGATGATCAGCCATCATATATCAGCATCCTGAGCCAGCATTATGAGCTGCTGCAGTATCCCTTGCTGTTTCCTCATGGGACACCAGGATGGGGCATCATAGAGAATGATGGCCAACAGGCCAGAATACAACAACACTATGTAAATGCATATGGTGTTACCCAATGTCAGTGGTACTTCTCCTGCCTAATAATGGAGGACCAATTCCTATGCTTCGGTTGATTGGCCAATGAATACATTTGTGACAGCTTCTCCAGAATTGAGGAACAATGTCTTGACTATATCAGACATGCAAGAGAACATTGTGCAGAAGGACTTCACCCATCTGATGATCACAATGAAGACAGAGAAGATAGTGAAGATGATGAGGGGCCCATCAATATTGACCTACCTGCAAGCTTCATTGGATCATGCAAATGGGCAAGTGAGCAAACTGCAGATGCACTTGCCCTTGCTCGAGTTCATGGTCAAGCCACTATCTTCACAACAATGACATGCAATTCCAACTGGCCAGAGATTAGAGAATGCTGCAGAGGGGGCCAGGATGCCTCAGATATTCCTGTGGTTGTTGCACAAGTCTTTAAGGCATGACTGCAGCACTTCAATCACCTATTACAGCAGCACTTCAGCAAACTCCTCTACATTATCCAAGTGGTAGAGTTTCAGAAACATGGCCTACCCCATGCACATATAGTTTTCAAGGTATGCCATGCATGTATAGGTATTTGTTTAATGGAAGCCTGAATATATTGCTAGGTCCACCCTGAGCTCCCACCAGATCAGATAGATTGCATAATCAGTGGTCACATTCTGGAAGAACCCCAATTAGCAGCCAAGGTTGAATGGTGGATGTCACACCCAAGAGACCATCTTTGCCCAGACACATACCATCAATGTAATTGTGATGGGAAATGCATCTATAACTTCCCCCAACCACTTGCTGACCATACCTGGATCAATGAAGAAGGTCATGCAGTGTACAAGTGCTTCACTGAGAGGGACCAATGGATTTCATCACACATGCCTCTATTCATTGATGAGCTTGATTGCCATGTCCATGCTGATATTGTTGGTTCAACACATGTCTTCATCTACCTTTACAAGTATCTCTATAAAAGCCTGGACAACACAATGTTCAAGATTCTGGATCCAAACCATCCTCCTAGGGATGAGGTCAATGACTATGTTAAAGGTCAATACCTCTCAGCCTGTGAGGCTTCTTGGAGAATTCTTGGCTTTCCTATATCAAAACAAATCCGTGGCATCACACAACTCTCTGTACATCTAGAAAGAGAAAACTATGGCCAATTATATTGACACAATGGTGGTCAGTCAACAGCCTCAACACTACTTCAATACTTTGCATGTCCACACCATCCAGCCCTACTCCCTTTGCTATATGCAGAATACTTTTTGAGATATATCTTGGATGTGTGGAAAGGAGACCTCCCTCCTGGTGCATTCCTTGAAGAAGTGCAGCCAGGAATGCCACAGAAAGTGATCAAACAAAGAACCACAGAACACCCTGCCTGTTTGCAAAGCATCTCACCTTCTTCAGGGGATGTCTTCTACCTTCGGTGTTTACTCCAACACAAGGCTGCAAAAAGCCATGAAGAGCTATACTGGGTGAATGGTGTTTGTTATCCTTCATATGTGGAGGCAGCACATGCCCAAAGCCTCTTTGATAATGATAAAGGACACTATGCTTTGCAAGAGGCTGTTGCAGATCTTTGTACTCCAGGACAACTATGCTTTCTCTTTGCACATGTGGTTCTGGAAGGGTATCCTGCTCCACCCTTATGGGATACATTTCAAGAGGATCTCTCAGCTGATTTGCTTTGGCACCTCCCACAACCTGTCACAGCATATAACCAGGCTCTTCTTTCCATTGGAGATATTCTTGCTGATGTGGGAAAGGATCTATCATATTATGGGCTCCCACAGCCTGCAAGGCACTCAGTGGAGCTCACCCAAGAACTTGCTGCATTTGCAGGTCAGGAGCTGCAGTTGGCTGAGGCCGCTTGCATTGGCTATGCACAGCTGACAGAAGAACAATGTGTGGTATATGATGAACTTTGTGCATCTCTACTCACAGTGCAACATCAAGACCATGCATTTGGCCCCTACTTTCTTGAAGGCAAACCAGGATGAGGCAAGACACTTTTGGTGGACACACTCTCAGCCTGGCTCAGGAGCAATGGACACATTGTTTTGGTGGTTGCATCAACAGGCATTGCAGCTACCATTTATGAGCATGGCCAGACAGTGCATTCTCTCTTCTGCATTCCAGTGAAAGACGTTCATGTCTCTCTTCATTCACAATTGCAGTGTTCTCATCTTTACTACTAGGACCACATTGGCATTCTCTCTGAAATCTGAATACCCTCTGGACAGGCAGATCTTATTCATGCTGCCAGCTTAATTGTTTTTGATGAGATGCCAGGTGCCAACAAAACAACAGTGGAAGCTATTGACATGGTTTGTCATCATATTACAAGCTGTGACATCCCTTTTGGTGGTCTTCCATTTCTTGGCCTTGGAGACTTTTGTCAGCTAGCACCAGTGGTCAAGGGAACAGGTGAAACAGCAGCCCTACAAGCCTCTATTCTCTCCAGCCCACTCTGGCCTATGTTTAAGATTCACTGTCTCCATGCACCTGTGTGCAATAGAGATGACCCAGAATTTTCAGCCTTTGTGGATTATATTGGAGAAGACACCTCTGGAGAACAAGTCAGGCTCCCTTTACTTCAACCAGTATCTAACCTTGACATGGTCCTTGATTTTTTGTATCCACCACACATTCTGCAAGACCCTGTCCAGTGTTTAACTCAAGCATTTCTCAGCCCCCATAATGCAATGGTGGATACATTCAATGCACAGACATTGGAGTTGCTGCAATCAGATGAAGGTACATCTTCTGACTCAAAGCAAAAAAAAAAGAACACTCACAACTTTTGCAGTAGTTTACACTAGCCTTGACTCAATCAAAGATGGAGAAGCCCTGGATCTGGATAATGAAGAACAAATGCCTGGACACTCAAACATGCTCACCATGCCAAGGATTCCTCTGCATGCCCTCACATTCAAAGTGGGGGCAATTTGCCTGCTCATGAGGAATCTGTCAGTGGCAAAGTGCTTGGTCAAGAATGCCAGAGTAGTGCTTGAAAAACTCAATCAACACTTTGTTCAGGTATGACTGCTAGCACCTAATGGTGAGCTGAGCAGAGAGCTCTTCTGTATTCCCTGCATCTGTTTTGCATTTCAACCACAACATTCAAGCTGGACAGTGATTCACACACAACTGCCACTTTGTCTTGCTTATGCAACTACTTTTCATAGCTGTCAAGGGCTCACCCTTGATAAGACAGTACTAGACTGTCACACTGATGTCTTCTCTCATGGCCAGCTATATACTGCATTGACCTGTGTGTGTATACAAGCTGATAGCCTAATTTTTGTCCCCCAAAATTGGGACTTCACAGTTGCAAACATTCAGAGCAGTTGACTCATGTTGCCCTTTGTACCTATCTAGCATATGGAATTCAGCTGCACACACATGTTCCTTCACTCCCTTGCTCATGCACAGCGCACTCTAAATTAGGGTCCTTGTGCAGTGAGAGGTGTGGCTGTTCTTTCTTTGCGCCTGTCGGGATCGTCCATCAAATGTCATTGGTGCCTTCCATTGCTCCATTCTCTAATCGTTCAATTACCATTCCTTCTCTTCCCGACAATCATCCACGAAAGTTCTGGGATAGGAACAGAACACTGCCAGCAGGGCTCCGAAGCCACACAGGCACAGGACCCAGGGACGTCCCGGCGCCTATACCGGATTTTGCACAGTACCTGGCCCAACTTTGCAGGGCTTGAATCGAACTCTGCTCCCCTTTTATCCCTATTTAATGTGATGTATCGAGCGTTAGACGGACTTTTAAGGACGCTTGGATTGTCAATCCTTTGCTCACGCAATTCACTCCCCACCCGTCCTCTGCTCCCGGCTTACCGACAAGAAGATGACCGTCGGCCAGCAACCTACCTTCGCACTTGCACCGCCAAGGAATGGACATGGTGTCGAATATGCGGCAAGCGCTCGGAGACGCGCGGCTTTGGAGGAGATCGATAGGCATCCATATGCTTGGTTTCATGTGAAAACCGTGCTTGTTGCCGGGGTTGGATTCTTCACTGGTATGTGCCTTTTTCCTGTACTCCTATGACAAGGCCGGTGCGCATGAATTGTACTCACCCGCAACCTCGCAGATGCTTACGATGTCTTCGCAATCTCCATCGCTGCTACCGTGCTGGGTCTCGTCTATGCCGACGCGACCACCCTGGGCACCAACGCTGACCTTGGGATCAAGGTTGCCACGCCAGTGGGCACCTTGCTCCGTATGCTCTTTTTCGGGTGGCTCGGGGACAAGCTTGGTCGCAAGACGATGTATGGATTTGAACTTATCATCAGTGAGACAATCAATGCATGTGGAGGTTGAATCTGACGTGAGCTTAGTGGTGATTGGTACCTTCGGCCAAGCGCTTTCGTCCCAAGGCCCAACCGACGCAGTCACGATCACCGGTGTCATTGTCGTCTGGAGATTTATCCTCGGATTGGGTGTGGGAGGAGACGAGCCTCTTTCTGCTACTCTGACTTCTGAGTTTGCTGCAACTCGGATTCGTGGTCGGATGATGACAAGTTCGCCCCAGATGCTAGTCTAGTGATGCGCATGCTAAGCGATGACAGCCGTTTTCTCCATGCAAGGTTTTGGCACCTTTGTTGCTGCCCTCGTCTCTGCAACCCTCGTTAGCGCCTACAAGAGCTACATCCTCAGCTCTGGCGCTGAAGCAGTGGACCGTACCTGGCGCTTATTGATCGGCCTTGGCTGCGTGCCTGCCGTGATCGCCTTGTGGTTCCGACTCACCATCCCAGAGACACCCCGCTTCACCGCAGATGTTGAGCGTGACGTCGAGCGCGCGACGCGAGAAATAGACCAACTGCGGTTCAATCAGCGTTACAGGCCGGATCGAAACGCTATCGTGCGACCTGTCCAGGCTCCATTGGCCACCCGGTCCGACTTCTTTACCTACTTCGGTCGACCACACAACTTGAAGCTTCTCCTTGGGATGGCATGGTCTTGGTTCGCTTTGGATTTCGCGGTCTATAGCCTCGGCCTCAATTCTACCGTCGTGCTAGGTGCCATTGGCTTCGGAGACCAGACGAATGACGCGGCAAACTGTCAGGAAACCCTCACCAACGCGTGTATGTACCAAATCCTGTTCAACGCCAGCATAGGGAACATCATCCTCTCCCTCAGTGGCCTTATTCCTGGGTTCGGCTTTTCCTTCTTGCTCATCGACTGCTGGGGACGCAAGCCGATCCAGTTGATGGGTTTTGCAGTCCTCACCGTGATATTCGTCTGCATGGGATCCGCGTACTGGAAAACGGCGCTGAGCACGAACCAGGCAGCCAAAAGCGCCTTCGTCTTCCTCTATTGCCTGACCAACTTCTTCCAGAACTTCGATCCAAACACGACGACGTTTATCATTCCCGGTGGGGCGTTCCCGACAAGGTATCGGAGCACTGCGCACGGGCTATGCGCGGCCTTCGGCAAGCTAGGCGCCATCATTGCCCAAGTCGTGTTTTCCTCCTTGAAGGATTGGGGAGGAAAGAATAATTGGATCGGCCACATTTTGCAGATAATTGCGCTCTTCATGCTCACAGGGTTGTTTTCCACTCTCCTGTTGGACGAAACCAGTACGTCTAGTATACCGCCCAAGGATCTCGCTGACCATTTCTCTTTTCTCCCTTCACTTTGCAGAACAAGAAACCCTAGAAAACCTGTCTCACGAAGAAGAGTTCAGCTATTCCTGGACGCAGGATGACCTGAACCTACCTCAGCCTGTAGCACTGCACGGCCAGCCGGAGGCCCAGCTTCCGCCACCGGCAAACGGACACGGGCATCCCGCCAACGGGCACGCTCACCCACCGTTCCCGCCGTTCCCGCCTTATCACAATCACCAGGAGGACCAGGCGCCCCCAGAGCCAGGGCAGCCGGCTTCCCCTACTACTGGAGTAGAGGTGCATAGGACGACGGGGCATGCTCGGCTTAGGTGAAACGCGTCGGGCGGGTGTTCTGCGCTCATGGTTTTGTTCAGCTTTTTTTGGGATTACTCATAGGGGTCGAAGTGTATAAGCATCAGTAATTCTGTCTAGTACTTGATTCCTGACGGACTTTGTATCTTTCTGGATCCGAATGAGGAGGATTCTAATGGACAGTTGTGGTGTTAGTTATCGAGTAGCCAAGACATCAGCGTCAACAGGGCAACATCAGACGTCCGATCCCTCAGCTTCACGACCTCTCCAGGTTCGTCATCTCTCATCCCACACGACCGAGAAACCAGCCCGAATCCGAACTAGGATCACCCGGTCCCAATCCGGCCGGATGCCGTCCCCCAAACTCGCAAACGAGCGTATGGTCCAACCGTGCCATATCAGACGTTTTGGTTTTCTACGTTCGGAATATATGAATACTGTTGCCCACGCACGTGCCCGCTTTGCGCGGGTCGGGCTGTGATGAACCTCCACTTTGAAAGGTGGGCTGTGGGTGCGTGCGTGGATAGCATAGACAGAGTCGTTGTCGGCATTAAATGTGGGGGATAGGGGACGACCTGCTCCTCAAAGGAGTTGTCGTAAAGTAAAGTAGAACGCCAAGCACGCGCTTACCAATATCACTAACTCACCAACAAGAAAACACGGACGTATGTCCAGCGGGCCGAGGAGCGGCAACCTTCCTCCGACCTCAGTTCGGCACAGCTGCAGTCGGAATACCGTAAGGGCAAGCGGAATATTTCCCGAGAGTGGGGAGAGGTGTCTCGGCAGATGTTCTACAGGAATTGAGGTGAAGTAAGTTTTCTGGATAGGAGGATGGTCTGAGTGGGTTATGCACGAGAGATGGAAGATCGATATCTTGCAGGGGAATATAGTGGGCGCTCTGTGGTGGTGCGACCACTCGACCTAGTCTAGCCTCCAAAGACCCAAGAAGAAACCCCACGGACATCGTCTCTACCCCCAATATGCATGAATAACTTGCTGTAATGAACAATATCATCATCCTCGTGCAAGAAAGACCATACGACTGCCAGGGTTTGGAGAAACTGAGTGACTGGCAGGAGCGCGTGGGGTTGCGTTGCGCGTGAAGATCGGCCAGGGACAGCGCGTCATTCTGTCATCCGTCCGTTCCCCGTCCCTCAGACAGAGCGGGCCGGGATTCGGAAGCGAGCTTGTTGTGCCAAGCTTGTCTGCTGGTGAGCAGAAATGCATGACTAGGATGTGATATTGCGCCGGGATAGGAGCTGGAGCGCGTGCCCAGTCAGCGCTTACCTGATGTAGAGCGAGCCGCTTAACACTGTTGGTTGGCTAAATGATTGGCAGAGTACGGGTACTAAAGATGGTGCTGAGCTGTGAGCTGTGGCCTCTTTAGGCTGGGTGCGTGCGGTGTGCGATGTTCGATGTGGAGGGCCGATGTTCGGGAATGCCGAAATCCGACGATGGTAGCCACAGAAACGACGTGTGGTAACCCGTCGGGATTTGGGTATTAGGAATCAGATTCCTCTTTAGGCTCGACGTTCTCCGGTTTATGGTCAGAACTGGGGAAGAGGAGGATGTGAGCTGGAATGGCTTGGTATGATTGTCCTGTGCCACCATTCTTGTTCGCATGTCCAGGCACAGCAATCCAGCACGAGTGACTCCGAACCACTCAGACTGTCCTTCGGGGCCCTTGCCCTTGCCGGACGCGGCACGGGATCACAAGAGCACGAACCCTGAGCCCTTATGCGGAGCATATGCCAACATTCCGGTCTAGCCTGTGTCCAAAAATACGCTACAATGTCTCGCTCGATCTGCTTTGGAATGCAAGTGTCGGGGAATGGTATTCCGGGGGGAAAGGCACGTTGGTCCGATTGATTGGGCATCCCTTAGGGCGCGTTTCCGGTGGGTGTGGCTGTGCGTGAAATGGAGAGAAAGATGGCCGACACGTCTGAAGTCTGATTGTGTCGCGTTGTGGCAAGTTCTGTTGCTCGTGGTACATCTTCTGCGCTGCTCGATAGCATGTGGTCATCAATGACGCTGTGAGACAAACGTGGGTTATATTCTCTCCTGTGATTGGCCAAAACGCTCTCGATGCACACCTCTGTCGGATAATGCACACATTGCTCGACGTGTGCCTAGAACAAGCCGTGACGCTGTACGTTCTCCCCCTGTTTAGCCTTCGACGCGTGTATGCGCATAATTGTGCCATACAAATACCCGCCCTTCCTCTTCGCTGTCCAATTCCTTCTCCATACCTCTTCCCTCCCCATCCACCATCAACAATGGCTGGCGCAGAGTACCGCTCCCCATCGGAGAAGGTCGTCGCAGAGGCAGTCACACTCGATGCTCGCCGTCGTGCCGCCCTAGCAGAAGTCGACGCGGCCAAGTTCTCTTGGTTCCACGTAAAGGCAGTCCTCGTCGCCGGTGTAGGCTTCTTCACAGATGCCTATGATATCTTCGCTATCTCCATCGCTGCTACCATGCTGGGTCTCGTCTATGCCGACGCGACCACCCTGGGCACTAACGCTGACCTTGGGATCAAGGTCGCGACCCCCGTCGGCACTCTTGTTGGTCAGCTCCTGTTCGGGTGGCTCGCGGATCTCATTGGTCGCAAGCGCATGTACGGTGTCGAGCTCATGATCAGTGAGTCCCGTCTCCTGTTTCTCTTCAATGCACTGACCCGCTCCCAGTCATCGTCGCTACTTTCGGTCAGGCGCTCTCTGCTCAAGGCCCCAACACCGCTGTCACCATCACCGGTGTCATCGTTGTCTGGCGGTTCATCATGGGTGTAGGTATCGGAGGTGACTACCCTCTCTCCGCTGTCATCACCTCCGAGTTCGCTGCCACCCGCATCCGTGGTCGCATGATGTGCGCTGTGTTCGCTATGCAGGGCTTCGGCAACTTTACCGCTGCCGTCGTGGCCACCGTCGTCGTTGTCGCCTACAAGCCTTACATCCTCTCCTCCGGACCTCAGGCTGTTGACTACACCTGGCGTCTCCTGATTGGTCTTGGCTGCGTGCCCGCCGTCATTGCCCTCTACTTCCGTCTCACCATCCCCGAGACTCCCAGGTACACCATGGATATTGAGCGCAACGTTCTCCAGGCCTCCGTCGACGTTGAGCAGTTCCTCGCTAACCAGCCCTACAAGCACGACCCAGATGCGATCGTCCAGCGTGTCCAGGCTCCCCGTGCGTCCAGACGCGACTTCATCGCCTACTTCTCCCAGTGGAAGAACGGCAAGGTCCTCCTCGGGACGGCATACTCCTGGTTCGCCCTCGACATTGCCTTCTACGGCCTTGGCTTCAACTCCTCCATCGTCCTCACGGCCATTGGCTTCGGTACCGCCGCCACCCCTACGACAAACGAGGGCATGTACCAGACCCTGTACAACGTCTCCACCGGTAACATCATCCTTGCCGTTGGTGGCCTCATTCCCGGCTACTGGGCTGCCTTCCTCTTGGTTGACAGCTGGGGACGCAAGCCCCTGCAGATGATGGGCTTCGCCTTCCTCACCGCTATCTTCTGCGCTATGGGCTTCGGGTACTGGGCGATGAAGACGAGCCAAGCGGCCAAGAGCGCCTTTGTCTGGCTCTACTGCATGGCCAACTTCTTCGAGAACTTCGGACCTAACACAACCACGTTCATTATCCCCGGCGAGGCCTTCCCCACCCGCTACCGCTCAACCGCACACGGTATCTCCGCCGCCTCCGGCAAGCTGGGCGCTATCCTTGCCCAAGTCGGCTTCTCCCAGTTGCAGAAGTGGGACGGCCAGGACTGGATCGGCCACATCCTCCAGATCTTCGCATTCTTCATGCTCACGGGTGTGTTCTCCACCCTCCTCCTCCCTGAAACGAAGCAGCAGACACTGGAAGAACTCTCGAACGAGAACCAGGACGGGTTCATCACCGACGTACCCCCCGTACGCATCACAGACGGAGGTGCCATCGTCACCGGTGCAGGGGGCGAGATGGTATAAAACACCCCTTTATGACTGGCTCGTCTGTCCGCTTCACCACGTGCCCGATCCATGACCTAGATCGTAATGCCCCACACCAATCTTTTGTTTCTCTGTAGCTGGATGTGTAGCGCAGCCTTTCCTCCCCTCTGTAACCCAGGTTAGATAATAATGTCTTCAGGTCGATTCGGTATGTTCAGTCCTGTGTCCGATGAGGAGTGTCGTGTTGAGTGATGTCAGTTGGACTCGTACAGAAGAAGAAGTACGAAAAGGTGACAAAAAAGATAGTATCTTTTCATAACGTGCGGGAACCAATCCCGACGCGCTTATTTGATCTCTCTAGCGTTGCCCATCGATAGGCTTGCAGACTGTAAGTTGCAGCTGGAGGAATTCGGGCTAACAGGGGCGTTGTTCGATTTTGAAAAGCCAAAGTGGTTAAACAGGTTGTTTTCCTGAAGGCCAAGACTCTATATAAAGGGGTGAGGTGAGAACTTGAAGGGAGGAAACTGTCCTCCGATCTGGGAATACGGCTTGGAGGAATTAGGACGGCCCGGGTGGCAAGTTCGCAAGTTCCACCTGGGACACTGTGCTCCTTGGTACATTTGCAGGGCTGTACAAGACATACTGAGAAAGCCTGAGATATACAGCTCTTAGTTTTTGCACAGGCTGTCGCTGTCTTTGGGTGGGTGGCTGGGGAGACAATGAATGTCGTATCGCTGGCAAACGTGACCCAGTGGCAGGTATGCTTCGGGACTGAACACCCACACCACGGGCTCGTGATTTCATGAGCAAGAAGTGATCTGGAGCTGCGATGGTTGGCAAAGCTTGCTTGGGAGAGAACCAATGTTCGAGGGTGGTGGCAGGAACTCGATTTAGGCTGTGAAAACACAGAATTGGGAGGTGATTGAAGATGAACGCACTGAAGATTCAATTTTACTATCGGGTTGCTTTGAGTGCACATGTATGGAGTCGCCGACTTTTCCTGTGTGGCGTATTAGTCTGAACAAGTGGCCGAATCGCAAGGAAATGTGATACCAAACTAAAGATATTGCCATTCTCATAGAGCTACAACCAGATTGGAAATGCCAAGCGTCATGTTCCATTCCATTGCAATTCTGAGCTGGGTTACACTGCTTATACTTAATTTGTGTGTTCAGAGCTTCGGGACTTTTGGGAATTTGATGGATACTGAGCGGAAGTTGCATCGGGTCACGGGCACGTTGATTCATCCTGCTGATTGATGTGGTAATGCGGGTATCAAACCTCCCTGGCAAAGGCTGTCAGTGGTTCCACCCTCTTGTTTTGACCATTGATCTTGCTCATCGCTGAGCCCAATCGCTACCTGGGCCTCAGTGCCAAAGTCATGGCAGAATGTTGGGACGCTGATCATCGAGCGAACGTTACCCCTACCGCCTATTTCTGCAGGGTATTTTCCCACAATGCCCTGAACGTTCCTCGAGGACTGAAAAGAAAGCCTAAAAAGCGACCCACGCGTTTTGGAGAACGCTTATCGTCCCCGATCCAAAACTCTCAAGGTTGAACGCAGGAATTCCCTTAATAGGCTCAAATTAGGCACGTGCGTTCTCCAGGGATCCAACAGTGCAGGGATGGCGTGAGGACTCCCTCTGACTGGACACGACCGTGCACTCGGAATGTCCGTGTTCCGGATTCGTACAGTAGCATAGGGGCAACAGTGTCTTGTGGAAATACAACTGTGCAAGAGTTAGGGGATGCCGACGGGGAATTGGACGCCACAGTACCCCGCTGGCTTATGCCGAGCCTTTCACTGGCACGCAGCTGGGAGTTTACTGGTGTGAAAGGAGGAGCTGTTTTTAGAGACCTAGTCATCAGCTTGTGACTTGCGGCTCAAGGGGGGCGGGTGGGTTGCAGAAACTGGTTAACCCTACCCAGGCTGCCATTTAAAAATATCCCATCCAAGCCGAACATCGCAGAACTGCACATTGACAGTGTCGAGAATCCCACACCAACAGACGAGGACAGATTTTTCCCTATCGGTATCCCAAGATGGGGTAGCTAGTTACAGATTTGCGATACTTGCAATATACGGATCGTAGACGGGGTAGAGACAGTAGACCAAGAGCAAGAGCAACGAGAAAGCGAAAGCGAAGGGAAGGGAGGGGGTATACCAGGGCAGGTTAACGTAACGTAACGTATCGTGGAAGTAGGGTAGTGTACAGACTGGAGCCCAGGAACGAAAGCGAAGCGAAAAACGAAAAGCGAAAAACGAAAAGCGAAAAACGAAAAGCGAAAAGCGAAGCGAAAAGGATCAGTAATCAGTAATCAAATGAAGTGGAAATCGTGCGAGTAGAATACACCTTGCCTTTGAGCCCTCCCGGGGAGTTACCGAGCATAAGCAACGACACCTGCCCTCGTTCTGGAAGTAGCGCCCTGGTCCGCCCCCGCCTCCGGTTCAGGCTCAGTCTCAGGCTCGGGATAAAGAGGTTCATCCCTATACTCCTGATCCGCAAACGTGACTTCCCTCGGATGCAGCGGGTGTCCATTAGCACTACTCTGCAGCAGGGTATGGCCATTGATGTGCATGTGCATGTGGGCCTCGGGCTGGCCATGGAGGATCGCCCCTTCCGGAAACTGGACTTCGTGTAAGTCGTAGATGAAGTTCTCTTGGACTTCGTTAGATAGTTCTTCGAGGGATTTACGTTCTACCAGAGCAGAGGGGGGGAGCGCGGGTTAGCGCGTGTAGGGAGGAGGAGGGAGGGAGGAGGGGGGGGAGACGCACTCGTTTCGGGTAAAAGAAGGGTAGAGAACACACCAGTAAGCATGAAGAAAGCGAATATCTCCAATCTACGCCGCGCACGCGTCAGCCTACATCCTACATCCTCCCCCAACCCCTGGCGAGGGAAGCAAATCCGACTCACATATGTCCAATCCAGTTCCCAGAACCCGACGGCCCGCCCAGATCCTGCAGTCTCGAAAAGATAATTTGGGCGATCACGGCTCCCAATTTTCCCGATGCGGCTGAAATGCCATGTGCTGTGGACCTGTACCGGGTTGGGAAGACTTCGCCGGGTATGACGAATGTTGTCGTGTTTGGACCGGCTGGGCGTTAGCGTTACCTTGTGCTCATGAGGCGGGAGGCGGGGGGGGGGGGGG